CCCTGTGTCTCTGTGTTGGCTACCTGACTGATGCCTGTAGACGTTGAGGTGCCTGACTGACTTCCGCTAAAGGAGAGATGGGAGAGGGGCTCAGAGGTATGGTGGGCGTTCATCCAACACTGACAGGCCTCTGCTAGCACAGGCAGATGTGCCAGACACACCCTCTGTCTTGGAGGCCCTGGAACCAGAGGGTTTTCCCTGGGCATCAGTGTGACTTCAGGCAGGTGACCTCCAGTGTTTAGCTGGGATTGCTCACCTGTCCAATGTGGATAATAATAGTAAATATCTTATAAGGTACTTGGGAGGGACAATCTAGAAGGGGAGGTGCGGATAGCTGATTTTCAATTTGAAGTCCCCGATTGTTAGTGGTAACTTCAGAGGTCTAGAGCTTTGCTCCTCAACACAGTGGGAAGACTGCAGCTTCAGCAGCCCCGGGGAACAGGTGGCCAGTGCAGAGTGGCAGCCCCACCCAGACTTCCCACAACTTGCCTGTGGGAAGCTGCATTTGAACAGATCCTGGTGGCTCCCAGGTCACTAAGCCCAGCTGAGCACTGGGCTGTGCAGACAGATGTGGGTTGGGATCCTGGCTCGTCCTGGGGTTGTTGTGGGACTTGAGGCAGGTCGCTCTCAGAACCTCGGCCTTCTCCTCTGCCTTCTGGGTGATGTGAGGAGAAGAGCAGGCCACTGGGAGCAGAGGAAGACGTGGGCGGAGACCTGTAATCACAACAGGAGCTGCTGCAGGAGCAAAGGAGCAAAGGATTCCCGCAGGCCAGGGGCTCTGGGTCCTCTCTTGGAAGGAGCAGAGGAAAGGGCTCCTTCCTCAACTGATCCAAAGACAGTTAATGCTCCAAACCAAACTGGGCTTTCTCCAGTAGAGGAAAGAACAGTGGCCATGATGGTAATGAACAAAACCGCGGCTCCCCTGTGCGCCATCCCCTGGAGACCCATAGTGACATGGCCTTTCTCTGGACTCCTGCATGTATCTGTCTGTCTGTCACCTGTCTTTCTGAGTTTTCCATTTGGAACTGGCCACTGCCACAAGTGCGTAAGGCCAATGGAAGATGTTAAGTCTCTTAGTTCACTGTTTAAAAAATTGTGCAAAAAGCATCCCAGAAGGCGCAGGCACCAGGAATCTGCATCTGCGGTGCAGTGAAGGCCTTGTACGGGATGGAGAATTTTGTGACAGGTGTGCTAAAACAATTTCCTTTGCAGGGTGGATTTCCTGGCTGATTGCAGGATTTCCGAAAACACAAGGATTTCCAAGTGTGTGCAGGAGCTGGCTCAGAGGTCCAGGTCATCTGGCCCTGGCCAGGTGGGGTGGGCACAGGGAGTAGACTCCCAGGCCCCCTTGGCTATGCTGGGTGCCCCCCCCCAGAGCCCCTGGCCTGGCTGAACTCCCCTCTCCTCGCCCCGCAGATGGAGTAAGAGTCCTGCCTTCCGAGGGTGAAGATGAGGTTCCCACCTCGCAGAACGGTGTGTGTCAGCAGAATTCTTTTCTTCTTTTTATTGCCTTGGAGACATATGCTGACTTGGTCAAAATCACTGCTGCAAGATGTGACGGATGATGGATGAAATGAAAACTCCCCGCCCAGCGCTGGGAGGCCAGCGAGCCCGGGGTGTGGGCCCTGGGCTGGGGCCCCAGACACAATAACACCCCTCCCCACTCCAGGCCATCTTTGATCCTGGCAGAGGCAGGCCCAGGTGTGGAGCAGACTGGGGCAGATCGGATTACGGCCCTGGAGCCCGGAGCTGGGTGCCCTGGCCTGGGGAGCCACAACTGGGGGTGCGCCGGCTGCTGGGGAAAGAAGATAGGCCCCAGGGGGAGTCCCTGGGCCCTGGCCGCCCTGAGCTGGGGGCTGGGGGCCACAGTGAGGAGGGGAAGGCCACGATTGCCCTTTCATCTCTGGTGCCACCTCCCTGGGCCCTTGTGGAGCACCCCCTCTGAGTCAGGACAGTTTGGCTTTTCTCTGCTTGGCTCCTGCCTGCCCCTAAGCAGACTGTCATGAGAAGTTTTGTGGCTGTTAAACTCAGGAGGCTTTCCCATTAGGACGCGTTCCTCCTTATCCAAGGGGTACACATTTGTCCAGGGGGGTTCTCGGTGCCCTTAGTTTCTGGAAGCTTACAGCAGCCTGAGGTGCTTTAGGTCCCCATGGGGGAACTGAAATACACCAGGCTGCCCCCTCCCACCCAAGGCTTTCCCCAAACAATCTTGAAGCCTTTCCTGGTGCCCTAGCTCCCACACCAGCGCCAGCTGCCCCTCCGCAGCACAGTGCTGGCCTGAGGTTGGCATCTGCACTGGCTCACAGGCATTCCCAACCGTCAGGCGTCAGGCGTAGCTCTGGGGACTTCTTTGGGGGAGGAAGCAGAAAAATGAAAGAAGCTGCCCCTCCCCCAGCATGATCACAGGGAGATAAGGCTAAGGAGGGGGTGCGGGAGTTCAGAGGGAACCTTATCTCCCCAGAGCTTGGGTATGGAGAGCTCCTGCTCTCTCATGTCTCCAGAGAAAAGATGCTTCTCGAGGGGGTGAGGGGCCTGGGAGTCTCCCTAGCCAGGACCCTGCACGGCAGCCCCAGCCAACCCCAGACCCCTCCCTTCTTTAGGTTGGCCTGTGCTGATTGCCATTCACTCAACAGGTAGTTATTGAGCACCTGCCATGTGCCAGGCGCAGGGGAGATGCACAAAGAACTCCCGAGCCTTCCCTGCAAGGCCTTCCCTGCAGCTCAGGGAGGACAAGACTGGCCCCCGACAGACTGGCAAGCATATGTAAATCATATGTAAATTGCAGCACCCAGGGTTGCTGCCCTGCAATGGACCAGCCTTACTTGTCAGTGAGATGCCCACAAGAATTGGAGGGTGGGTTAAAAGGCAGAGAAGGCTCTGGAAGGAAGCGATCTCTTTGTCTGGCAAGCCAACACTGGGCACAGGCAGGGCTGGGCGGCAGGCCTGCTCTATGTCTCCACATCCTCTGCCTGGGATGCAGGTCAGTGGCAGCCCACCCCCATCACCTCACCCTGTTCACCTCCCCCTCCCTGTTGTCACTTAAGACAGGCTGAAGTGCCCTGGCTTTTGAGTTGCACATTCTCTGATGGACACTGGACACCAGTGACACTCCTGCCCCTCCCCAGTAGTCTCTGGGTCAGATCTCCTCACTGCACAATGCCATACCTGGTGTGCCTCCTCTGCCCGCTCCAGCACCCTTTCTGGAGAAAGGTGATGGACAAGCACACCTCTGCCCCAGTCCCCAAACCGTGCCGAAGGCTCCTGCTCCGTCTTCTGGGCCTGAACTCGTTTCTCCACGGAGGCCGCACACGGGCCCACTCTTCACTGTGTCCTCCTGCCCAGCACTGGACTTGGCACTGGGACCGGCCACATAATGTTTGGGGTCTAGTGCAGAATGAAAATGGGGTCCTTGATTCATTGTTTATTAAGAACTGCGGTGTGGTGACTGTGCAGCAGGAGACCAGGGCAGCTGCACAAGTTGCAGGCCCTGGGCCACCCCGCCTAGCCTCGGTGCTGAGGGAGAAGTCAGGGGTGTGGGGTGGGAGCGGGCCTTTCTGTGGGCCTTGACTGGCCAGGAGCTCAGAATCCGTGGAGTCTCCCAGCCTGAGGCCGATGTAGGAATGGCTGGCACCTGCAGACTTCAGGTTGCTGCTCCTAACCTGGCCTCAAGCCTCCCAGGCTGCCATGTTATCTGAAAAACCCAAAGGGAGACCCACAGAGCCTCATGCAGGCTTCCTCTGCTCAAGGAAACTGTAAAAGACCAGGATGTCTTCCCCAGCCCTCCTGCTCCAGTCCCCAAGAAAGGCCTAGCCAGAGTGTCCCCGAACAAAAGCCCCTTTCCCAAGCTCAGTCCCTCACTGATCATGTCATCCTGCCCCAGGATTCTCCATGGAAGCCCAGCTTCTGGGGAGGGGGCCACAAGGACAAACCTGGGGCGAGGTTCAGTCTTACAGACCAGGAAACAAGCTCCATGGAGTGGTGATGCCCTCAAAGTCCCCTACAGCAGAGATCTTCAGTTCTGAGTTGTGAGGGGGTCTGCGTGGTGGGGTAGGCCAATTGTCCTTTGTGATGGACAGAAGATTAGAGGGAAGAGGAGGGAGGTCTCTGGGCTCAGCCCCTGGGGGGCCCTACCTGCAAAAGCTGTGCTCAGGCAGGGTAAGGGGCGGACTGAGAGGGTGGGCTGGGGGACCTGTCTCAGGTTGAGGGGTGGGTGGAATGGTCTCAAAGCCCAGCAGGGCGTGGGGGACAAAGATTTCTCTTATGCGCTCAATGGATATGGATTGTGTGGCCACAGTGGCTCCCAGGTTCAAGGCACCTCGAGCACAGGAGCTACCAAGATCACTGGGTAGCTCCTGGGTTTCTAGTGAGGGCGACAGGAGGACAAAGACGTCATTCCAGACAGTGAGAGAAATAACAGAAAATAAAACAAGTGTACGTGGGGTGAGGGGAGGAAGCCACCTTAGCTCTGCTGGTCTGAAAAGGTCTCCTGCAGGAAGTGGCACCTGGGCGGGGGAGGGGACCCGAAGAGTTCCAGGCCGTGAGAATGGCCAGCGCCAAGTTATGTTGGGGAGCTGTGGAGGGGTCGAGTGGCGGGAGTAGGGGGAGTGATGGGAGAACCAAGTGACGAGTCGGGGCCAAGGGTCGCCGCTCCCTAGTAGCCAGCTCCTATTCCCGCGCTTCCCCCCAACTTTCCTTTTCCCACCGCAGCCCTACTCTGTGGGTCGGCTCAGATCTCCTTCCTTGTCCCAGCTGCGAGTCCCAGGAGGGCAGGGCCGGCACGGATTCCTCCCTCCGCATCCCCTCGGCTATCGTTCCGGTACTGGGCACCCGGTGGGCGCTTGGTAAATATTTATCCAGCGCACTGTAAGGAATGAATGAACCCATTGGGCACAACTGGGGGAGGGCGGGGCCGAGGGCAGGTGGGAGGCCGCCGGCGCGGGAGGGGCCCTGGAAGCCCGTCCTCCTCCACCTCCTCCTCCTTCCAGGCCCCAGCGCGTACCACTCCGGGGCTCCCGACGCGGCCTCTCGTGCGATCCAGCGCGTGCAGGGCTGGAGGGGCGACTCCGGGCTCTTGCTCTCCGCGCCAGAGGTCGGAAGAGGGTGGGTCGCCCGCGCCCGAGGGCGAGGGCGGGAGAGGAGCCGGAGGAAGGAGCGCTCGATCGCCGCCGCCTCTCTGCCTCCCCGGCACTCGCTCTCCGGACTTTTAGGTTTGCTGGCTGCTCCTCCCACCCGCGCCCGCCTCCTCGCTCTCTCGCTCGCTCGCTGGAGCTGGTTTCCAAGCCCTGCGGTGCGTCCCGGCAAGTGCGGCGCGAGGGGCCCCGGACCAGCGCCGAGCAAGGGGCGGGGGTCCGGGCAGAGCTCAGCCGGCCGGGGAGTGGCCATGTCTGGCGCGGGCGCAGCGGGGCCCGTCTGCAGCAAGTGACCGAGCGGCGCGGACCGCCGCCTACCCGCTCTGCCACCTGGGGCGGCGCGGGCCGGGGTGCCGCGAGCCCGGATCGCGCGTAGAATCGGCGCGATGCACGTGCGCTCGCTGCGCGCTGCGGCGCCACACAGCTTAGTGGCGCTCTGGGCGCCTCTGTTCTTGCTGCGCTCCGCCCTGGCCGACTTCAGCCTGGACAACGAGGTGCACTCAAGCTTCATCCACCGGCGCCTCCGCAGCCAGGAGCGACGGGAGATGCAGCGTGAGATCCTCTCCATCTTGGGCTTGCCCCATCGCCCGCGCCCCCACCTCCAGGGCAAGCACAACTCTGCGCCCATGTTCATGCTGGACCTGTACAATGCCATGGCGGTGGAGGAGGGCGGCGGGCCCGACGGCCAAGGCTTCTCCTACCCGTACAAGGCCGTCTTCAGTACCCAAGGCCCCCCTCTGGCCAGCCTGCAAGATAGCCACTTCCTCACCGACGCCGACATGGTCATGAGCTTCGTCAACCTCGGTGAGTGAGGGCAGGAGGGAGGGGTGTGCATCTGTGTCAGGGACGCTTTGGGACAGGGAGGGGACCTCTTCTTACTTCCAGCCCGCCCATCTTTCCATTCCTGGCCGTTTGCAAAACCGCAGTGCCTGACCGAGGGTCTCCCACCCCGGGCCCCAGTGGACTCCAAGCTGAGCGCCCCCCTACCCCACCCCAGGTAGTGAGGGCCGGGCTCAACTTGGTCTGTGGGGGTTACTAGGAGGAAGGGATCGGTCCGAAGTCTCCTCGGCATTATGCCGTCGGCCCATCTCCTGGGCAGGAGGCGCCCGCCCGCCCCGCCGCGGCTCAGTTCAAAGAGCCGGGCTGGGTCATGTGAGCTGTCCCGGGCCCGCGCGGCCCGCGCTACCTGGATTTAAAGGGCCCTTTTCGGCGAAGCTGCCTTCCGGCCCCTCCTCGACCCCTAGGAGGCCTGCCTGGCCGGGGCATCGCGGGCGTCGCACTGCCCTCCCCGCCGGGCAAGCCCTACCTGCTCCCTCGCGGTGCGTCCGCCTTAGCCTGCTGCGCGCCCCGAGCGCCTCCGGCCCCTCGCCCAGCCGCCGGGCGCCCACCTCAGCTCTCTTGGCTGGAGCTGGGGAAGAAACGTTGCCATTGCGAGCTATTTTAAATATTTAATGATAGGTCCCGGGCGGGCAGAATCCATTTTCAGCGTTTATCACGTGTGGCGCGCAAACCACGGGTTTTAGCCCTGGAGTGGCGCGGGATCTCCGAGCAGCCGCCGCGGGGGTGGCTGGGGGGCCTGGTTCCCGACCCCAGCCTCAAGGACCCCGGGACGTGAGGCTGGGGCTGCAGCGCGCCCGGGTGGCTCCCCCTCCCTCTTTGCTGCATGTTCACCGGACTCGCTCAAACTAACCCCCGGCAGCGCGCTGTAGGACTGAAGATCAAATATTTGGTTTCCGAGATAACGCGCCCGCGGATAGTGCTGCTTCCTGAGCCTCTTTCATTCTACTTGTGTAGCTTGCTGCGAAAACCCCGAACTAAGTCAAGAAGGCAAACACGCCCACGGGCGCTGTGTCAACTTGGAAATAATGTTGCTCGGAGCCCCACGCTGGGCACCTGGGGCGTGGAGGGGGCGCTCCGGGAAGCGCGGGTCCGCCTGGAGGCTTCCATTCCAGATAAGGTCCCTGGGGTTCCCGGGAGCCCATTGTCTGTCCTTAATAATAGTCAAAATCAAATAGTGAAATGAGGTTCAGCAAGCAAGGGGTGGGGGAGGATGAGTTGCCAGAGTAACTGAAGGTTGACACTAAAGCAACCAGGTAAGAATGAGGCAGCCCCCTATGACCTAGTTTACAGCAGTCTTCCAAAATGTATGGGAAAGCGCAAAGTGCGGGCTAGTGAGGTGACACTTGCTCTCCTACATCATCCCTGCTCCACTGGAAGAGGACAGGGTGAACTGGAGAGAGATTTTACTGGGCTGGGGGCGGGGCTTAGGGTGGTGGGAGCTTGGGTCTGATTTTTCATTGTCCGTGCTGTTGTCTTTGTGAGATTTTAACCTGTGTATTTATTAGCAATAGCCAAAACGAAAGAAGAATTCTAAATACATGCATATCAATACAATAATGAATGTCAGAGTTCTGTAGTTCTCCTGAGGCCAGGGTTGAGGAGAGTCCTTGCGTGGGGGGGGGGGGGGGGGGGGGCAGGCGTGTATTTATGGCATCTCCTCTTCTGCTTAAGTCCTGTGACTCTCATTGAACACAGCAGGTCCCAGTGGATGCATTCAGAGCCTGGCTAGGGTCATTAAAAAAGTATTTGTAATCCCTGGCTTCTGTAGCAGGCTCTGCAAACCCAGCTCAAATAGTGCTCTGGTGCTTCTGGACCTGCGGTGTGGTGGGACCTGGGCTCTGCATCCCAGAGAAGGACCAGGCTGCTAACTGGGTACTCCTGGGAACTTTGGGGGCAGGGCCTGTTGCTCCCCCCAAGGCTTTGGGAGCAAGCTGGGACTTGCTTGGGCAGGCCATAGCTGGGTGGTTTTCCTCCTCTGGCTGTACACCACCTTTGAATCCATTTCTTTCATCTTGAAAGGACAAAGACCAGCTTGTCTGAGCCTCTTAATCAGTCGGGCTGGCTTTGGGCTTTGTGGGACGGTCCTGACTTTCTCAGGTCTCGCTTTCTGGAACATCACTCCAAATTAGATGGCAGAGTGGCTTTTAACAGCACACACTGACCTTATTTTCTTTTCCACTCTGTCCCTAAACTCAAGGTAATTAGTTAGGGGAAGACCTGGGCTGCCGTTTGGCAAGAGGCTTCCGGTAGGTGCCCCCAAGGGTGGCCTTTAATTTCTGCCCAGGATTTAACTAACTGCCTGTTCTTTCTGTTGTGCATGACTTGAAATTTCTCCATAAGAGGGATTTGGGGGTGACAGTTAGGAGAGGGGTGGGGGGTGGGATGAGTCTGCTGGGTTTGCTGAGGAAGGGCATGTCTTTCCTGGGACTGCCAATCCTGTTGACCTGCAACATGCAACGTTTTCTAAGGCCAAGTTTATTCTCACGTTGTCCCTAAGAGTGAGAAAGTTCCACATGTTTGTGTCCAGCCCCGGCTTGTTACCATAGGGAGGATTTCTTGGGCCCACCATGAGGGTCTTGGGGGGGCGGCTGACTTACTCTGCTGCCCCTCCCCCTCCGGCATACCTCTGCTGCCCGGCCAGGCTGCCTGCCTGGGGACCCCTGCCTGGATTCTGAAGGCTTTTGCAGACCTGGTGCCTTTATTCTTCCTCTGTCTGCAGCCAAACTGGTTTTTGTTCCTATAAGTCGTTCTTGGAATCCGAGCTTTTTGCCAGGCTGAGCGGGATCTAAACTAGAGGGGAGATTTTACGACAAAACCAGGTGCTGGGAGTGGGAACTTTAGGCTGCACCCATGACAAAGATCAGGGTGTGAGCAAGCCCTGTGGGACTCCAGCTGAGCTACAGGAGGGGGCTCACCTCCTCCCAGCCTGGCCCCCTTAAGTTCAATGGCAAGATTTGTAAACTGGTTTGGATTAACAAGCCCCTGACTCCTCTGTGTAGACTTAATTTTGGAATTCAAAACAGGCTACCCTCTCTTAAAGAGTCCCCAGGCGATGGCAACCCTGCGGACTGCCTCTCGAACTCTGAGTCCTCCCCACTCTTTCTTTGGAGAAACCCATTAGCTCTGTTTGGAATCTTCTGAGGACCCCGGCTGGCAATGGGGTGTGCAACTCGTGTTTATCTCTGGGTCAGGTTATGAAGGAATGAAATTTGTTTAATCTTCGAAGCTAAATTGGAGAAAAAAAAAAAAGGAGAAAGTTGGAAACCTATCATTATTGGAGTCAGCGTATAAAAGTGGCTTTTGTTAATGCAGCCTGAGAGGAGGGGAAGGGCGTGCAGTTCTGAGTTTTGCTTTATACCATCTGGCTATCCTTTTTGTTGACAAGTGTTTGGCATTACGAGGTCTCCTTTTGCCCCTTCGGAACAGGCCCTACCACTGTAGAGTATTAGAGAAAGATTCTGTTACAGTTTAGAAACGTCCTTCAGGGAGTGCTCCGCGCGCATGGCCGCAGGCATCTGCAGCTGTAACCTGGCTTGTGTTAGAATTTGGAAGGGGCTGCTCCGCATTCCAGCCCTGCGCGGCCCTCCCTGGTAAGCAGCCAAAGGTTAATATAGATGTCACACAGGCTTTCCTCTTCTTTCTTCCTCTCCTTCTTGCTACAGGAGTGTACCAACAGCTGTGTTTTTAGTAACCCTTTCAAAATCACTTCTTTTAAACCTCATTTTCCTGCTTATATAAATCAAAGATTCTCCCCCCCTTCCCCTTTTCCCAAGGATATATGTGACCCAGATTTGAACTTTTTGGATCTTCTATGTATTTGCCTCCTGGAATCAAGGCAAGGTCCTCCTGAGCCCTGGATGCCAGCTTGGATGGCTGGTTTGGGTTTTTAACTCCGGGTCGTCAATGCTCTCGTCCCACCCAAAGGCCCAGATAAGAGCTGGTTCCGGGGCAGCGAAGGGGGATGATTCTTTGCATCCACAGAGAGGGAAGCTCTTCTGAGATGCAGCTGGTGAGAGCTGAGATTCAGGCCTCACCTTGGTGCGGCAGACACATCAAGCCTTCGCCCAGATAAACACAGCTGGTGGACGATCCCCTGACCACCGGCATGCCTGCGATGTGAGCGAATATCACATGTCCGCTGAACTCGGAGGCAAGTGATGATTTCATTCCAGGGAGAGTCCCGTGTAAGTTGATTGATCACGCGTATCGCTTTAATATCTCGCCCTCCCCCCCCTCAGTAAGGTCATATTTGGCCCATGGTGAGCATCAGAGTGTCCTAATGCTGCCCTCCTCCGCCCTTCCCCAGCCTGCCCAGGCATTGCACGCTGGGGATGGGGAGCCCTTTGCACCAAACTGCTGGCTGCGGTCATTTCTTGAGTTCAGCCCTGGGAGTTAGTGGGGGGCTGTCGACACGCTGGTTTCTTGGCGTTGCTGCTGCAAAGCTTCGTCTTAATGCGCTGTGGCAGTGTCGCTGGGTGAGGGCACAGGCAGGGATGTGTGGGACCTGTCATGTTATTGTCAGCAGGAATGTGAGGATTAGCCTTGGAGCTGGTGGCGGGGAGTGCTGCAGCTGTGTACACTTATTATGAAAGATTTAAGCCCCACTGGTAAAATCAATATATTGAGTTGCACGACCCTCTGCTTTTAATTAGTTTAAATCAAATGCGCTGGTGCCATTGCGCCTCCCTTGCCTCCGTGGGGTGAGGAAATACCAATATTTACATAGAAACTGTTAATTTGTGGTGAAAATGATAACACATTTAGCTTTACACACCCCAACGGCTCCAGCCTGATGGATCCCAGATCGTTGTGGACTTGAGGGCTGACGTCATCGGGATGACGGAGCAGGGAGGAGACGCGGGTGACATCTGGGGCTTGGGTCCCAGATGCCAGGTCGCAGGTGGGTATGTCTTCAGAGCCCGGTCGTGGGGAGGCTGGGCTTGCCAGAGATTGGCAGATTCTTT